TTTGAGGGTTTCCCTATTTTTAAGTTGTTGCCAACCATCATACAGGGACCCGTTAACAAACAGAGTCGCAAGTGGAAGACCAAATTACCCTTGCCCTTCACAAGCGGGTTGTAGGTGAACGTCTTGCAGGACCCGTCCCGAGCTCCTGGTTTCAAAGGGAGGAGTGGCAGATCCTTAGGTTGAAGTGATTGAAACCTAAATAGACGAATGTCCACCCTGGATTCAACCCGGGTGAATAAGCTGTTCCCAACCTAAGGTGTCTCGGATCTCCCTCTAGTTGGGACGCAACCCTATTTTGCAACTGGGGATTCTGCTAAAAACTAACAACATGGTGCTGTTTCAATAGAATGGGGTACTATTGAACCAAGCTATCTCATGACAGCACATCCCCTTTTTCCTGCAAATCATGGGGAAACCATGGATGCTTAAACCAAGTATTTCTACAAATCGCAGTCCCCTTTTCCCTTGTGGTTTCCCTTGAGCTGCCAACCAAAACGAAGTCCACCATGTCGAGCAAAAAACTCTCAGAGAAACGCACCTGCGATTCATTCGTCAAGTCTTCAGATCTCCATGCTGCTTCTCAGGGAATCCAGAAGGGGTTTCGACAGCGAACTTCTCCCGGTCCCGGTTTGCGGCCCATTCCAACTCCCTGCCTTTCAGACCAATGACTTGGACGGAGGTTTGAGGTTTGGCGCTCTCCCCATTCAACTTGGCGGTTGGAGAAAAGTCCAAAACAGAAGCAACGTTGCATTCAAATCAAGGCCTTGGATTTCAGGACACTGCCAAATGGTGAACATCAATCCCTGTAAACATCATGTCCACCAAAGGGCCCCCCATTCAAAATCAGATCACGCCACAAATATCCGGACTGGTGCGCCTTTCTTCCAATGTGACCCCCATTCCAATGGAGCTACCCTTCCTCCCGCAAACGCAGCAATTGTGACGTGGAAGACAACTTCGCGCTTGAAGGGACATTTTGCCAAAATGGTGGTCTTCATTTTAGTCTGTGTGGCGCCCTCAACCACACACACACACACTTACACAAACACACGCACACATATATACATATATATATATATATACACACTTGGTTGCTGTTGACCCCTCTGCAAAAAGTTTTTAACTTTTTGCGGGTTTAGTGGAAAACCCCTTGAGTTCCCAAAAAGTTAAAGTCTAAAGATCCAAGCCAATAGCAGTGGAGTACATACATATGTGTATATATATATATATATATGCAAAAGAGTGAGGTGTCATGGTAACTTGCTCGCCCGACGCCCAACGCCCCAGGCACTTGCTGTAGGTGCTGAAGAAGGTCGGCGTGAAGGTGGGCTGCGAGGACGACTTTCGTGAGGCGCGCGAGGCTCGCGAGGCTCGCGAGGTGCTGGACTGATGGGATTTCAGCGATTCCACCGGGCGCCTGGCGCCCAAAAACCGGCGAAAGAACGGCCGTGCCCGGCGCCCGGGCTGCCAAATGCTGTTTGATCCCTGGCAAGAAACGGCAAAAAAACGGCAGTGCCCAGTGCAAAGGGGGCTCCCCGATGTTTGTTTGATGCCTCAAGGTGCTGGAGAGAGCGAGTGTTTGGCTTTTTTGGGGACAAGCACGAGGAAGATCAAGCCTTGAGACTCTCAAGCAGATTTACCCTGAAACTTTGAGCGTTGAATCCTCGGTGTGGGATCCACTTGGTTTGGAACACCTCGTAGCTTTCTGTTGCAACTGGGATCTGGGTCTCGGTCCTGGGATTCTCCTGGGACTTCCGGGATCGGTTCTAGCGGCCGGGATCGGGCGCAAGCCGCCTTTCAGTTCACCAGCCTTAGACAAGACCCGTGGAAAGAGGTCCGTTCTAGGGGTACCGGATCCATTTCCATTCTGAACCCAGGGATCCGGATCTTTCTAGAAAACCAAACAATAAACCCGGTGAAGTCGACCGGTTGTTGAAAAGGACGAGGGTTGAAAAGAATGGAGAATCAGCCCCTAGAGTTGTGCGAGGCCGTGTCCAAAAAGAGCCGGCCCACGATGCCAAACGCGGCGGGTGCCGACACTTCCAAGAGATCCTCGGCGTTCCGCACCCGCGGCAGGAAGCGCTTCGCGGAGAGGCGGTCAAGCGCCTCATCCTGCAAGCCTCGCCGCGGGGTTTGTTGCAGCGAACTTCCTTCAGAGCTTAAACATCCCCCGCAAGGACACTCACTTTACACTTCCATTTGCTTAAGGCCCCAGGAAAGGGAAAAATACAACTTGTTTCCAGTAGTGATGAATTCCTTTTAAGACCGACAAGGGAAAAAACCAACATATTCCTAAGCCAATGGAGGTGTACAAGGTGATGCTTAAACCACCCCTAGGGGGAAACATGGAGAACGCGTCCGCTCCCAAGAACAGAAGCAGGGAAAACAGCTCTTGACCCTTCACAACATGTTTTGTCCAAAACCCAGTTCTAGGCGAAGCACTCCTTGTCTACACTCTCAAACAAATGGCACCCGCAAAAGAACCCCCACAAACAACAAATGAGGAGCGTCAGGCGTCAGCTTCAGTCGGAAATCGTAAGCCGGCGGCATTTGCCAGGGTTCCTTAAGTATCCAGCCAAAAACAGCACCTGACCAAGAAGGAACCTCAGTTTACATGGGTGAGACATGTGTTGGACTGCGCCATATGAGAAAACCATCAAAATGGGTAAATGCGCATTTTCCTTTGAACCCAAGGGTACCAGCTCAAAAGACGGCAAGCCAACAAGCCACGCCTTGGCTGGCTCAAACGAGCTTGCGCTTCCAAGTTCGACAGATGTCGGGTAAGCCCTGTCCCATACAGAGCCAACAGCACGAGGCGATGCTTATGATCCCACTATGAAAATGATATCCACTCCGGCACCCCACAACAAATGCTTTTTGGAGAGGGGTCGTGGTCCCCTAAATTTAGGAATCCTTGTCATCGTTCAAATCGGTCGCCCGCAAAGCGACATATCCGGGTTGTCCCGTCAGAAATCGGGCGCTTTGATCCATTGCACCTTGAAAGTCTCAGCTAAGCGACCTTGTAAAGCGTCAAGACTCAAGTCAGAGGCCGGACTCCAAAAAAACATGTTCCGCGCTTCAGACCTCTCGTAATTATTTGGAGTCAGTGTAGACAGTGGCTTATCAAGACACCAGAAGCACACAGATCATGGCTAAGAGTTCGCCTCCGTCCAACACTTTGCAGCGGTACCAGACCGTTTTTGTGGGACTAGGTCTGGCGTTTTTCCGCCGCCAGACCGTTTTAATGTCTGGTGCCGGTGCCAGACCATTTGGTCGGGCGAAGCTGGGGAAAGACTTGGCTGAAAGCAACAATTGCCCTCGCCCGTTGAAGCGTCCACACCAGGATGGGAACTACGTGCTCAGTAGCATGGCACGTGAGAGATGGCTGCAACTCTAACTCGGCTGGGCAGCTGGCCGCAGTGTGAATCGGGAGACAAGTTGGGATGACATACGGTGCGATTTCGGCCTTGGCAAACCTGGCCCCTCTGATGCAGCAGTTCAAAATGAGGCCTTGCAAACCTTGCGTCAGCACCTACCTGCCCCATGACTCTTTCTTTGAAGACGGTACCAATGGGTTTCCATGAGTGAGGACTTGCACGAGCCACCTCGAGGAAGTCAAAGGCACCCTTGGGGCTGAGATCACTAGAGGCCTCGAGATCCGCGAGGGACTCAGGCATCGGCCAAATAAGCTGATGCCACAGGGAGAAGAACTGAAGGACTCGTCTTCCGGACATGGGATTGGGATAGGATCGCCTGGTTGCCTGGAACCAGGGATGACAAAGCAGCAGCAACTCCCATTTGCCTAAGTCCTCTGGGAAAAAGAAGTTCCAGTAGTGATAGATTCCCTTTAAAACCAACAGGGGAAAAAATATGTTTAAGCAAATGGAAGCCAGAGCCCAAGGCCCGTGTGAGGGCCAAACCTGGCTCTCACCTTTGGACGGACCTTCCAGAGATGTCTCTTCTGGATGCCGTGTGGTGGTCAAATTGAAGCGTTCTCCTTGCTCCAGTGCGTCCCATGTGTGCGTGGGCATGCCAAGGCTGAAGACCCACTTGTCTAAGGATCTAAGGGGTCGGGTCTGCGAAGCAAGGTGCAAGTCGAGCGCAAAGAGAAATTGGACCCCAAGCTTAAGGCCGGGAATCAGTTTTCAGCGCTTCGCAGCTCAAGTTGTCTGCGAACCTATCAACCTGGAGTGCCCCATTTGGTATGGCGAGGTGATGCCACGCATTGCTACCGACCCCAAGTTTTGACCAAGGCACACTTGAGCAGCGACAGAAACTCCTTGACTGGTTGGTTCCAAATTGGGGGCCCCAACTCAGGAAGCCGTAAAAGCAATTTGGCCTCTCATCTGTTTTTCTTGGGAGTCTTCGGGTCTGTAGTATTGCTGTAGCATTGGTGCTTAGAACTGTCTCGGCATCGGTTTCGGACCAAAGGCCAGCCACCAGCTCGACGAAAGGACGAAGTGTGGGACCGACAAACTTGCTGTGTCAAGTATCGTTGCGTGTCTTCTGTACAGGACATCCTTTTTCAATTTGGGTTTTTGGTCGGGAACACTCATATCTGTATTTGAAACCCTTGGAATACTTGAGCCCCGACATTGAGGCTAACTATCAACTTGGGGCCAGGCGTTCCCGTTTTGGGAATCTTCCTCCTGGGGTATCTGCGTTTGTCTAAACGCCTCAAAGGGTAGGAGGGGAGAAGAGGTCTCAATGCTGCCCTCCTCTCACCTCTGGGTAGCTTGCCTTTGGGCCAAGAATGGCCAGGACTTTTGGACATGCTCAAGCAGTGTCGGCCCGTGCGCTTAGGGTTGTTGAACGGTGCCCAGGGAGGCCATAAAAGTCCAAAAGCTGCCAAGAAGCTGAGCCTCGCCATGACTTGCGCATGATGGTCCTCGACAGAAACCCGACATCTCCGAGAGCAAAACTGCGCCCATCCCGGCACACGCAGGCCCCAACGGCTGCTAGGGGACACACATATTAGGGGAAAAATGGAAATGGCTTTATAGCCTTTGGGGCCCCCTGCGCTGGGTGGCAACTTTGCAATTTTGGAGGAGATCGCAGAACCTGGCGCCAAGTTCTTTCCCCAGCCAAAGTCCTCGAGAACATACCGCAGCTCCGTCAACTCAGTCTCAACCTCTGACTCGCACAAAGCGAAGCCTGGGTTTACCTGAAAGCTGCAGAGCTGCGCGGGAAAGCTTTAAGGGATGTCGACCCCTGACCAAAGATGGCGGAAAAACGCGTTTTTCCCCCTTTCCTTCTTTTTGTTCCTCGCGTTAAAACATGAGCAACTCCAGACCAATCAAGTTGGTGTTTGGAGGGGGTGTGATGTCGTGGACAACCTTTCACTTGCCCAGGCGCTGGATGACTTGGGTGGCAGTGTGGGACTTCATCCGGCTCGTCCATGGCGCGATAAAACTGAGCCATTCTCAAGGCCGCGTATCCTTTCCCCTAACATAGGACTCCAAACACCCCTCTTTTGTAGGTTCTTGGGATTTGGACATATGGGTTCCCGCCACATTCGCAGGGTCTCCAACTGAGAAAGTTACCAAACCCTCGGGTTGCGGGCGTGATGTTTTTTTGCGCAGCACAGTGAGGTAGGCAACGCCTGGCTTCCCCCCGGCTCCGCAACGGCTTTCGTGCACATCGATGGCCCCGGCTGGCAGCTCCATCACTGGGAAGGGTACGGCACCGGGTCTCCGGGGAGACCCAGCCTTTGGAGAAACGAGGCTTGGAAAAAGGAAGGGAGGTGCTGTTCTTTGCCATTGGTTGCTTTTCTTTTGACAGGGAGTCTGAGAGACCCCCCCAAAAAAATCGGCGGAATCGTAAAAATCGCAAGGAAACCCGGTACCGAGTTGCTACGTCCTTGAAAGTGGGGGATCGCCAGTTCCTCTTTTCTTCTCCCGCCATCCGTGACGAAACCAACCATTGACAAATAGGGGTGCGTCTTTTTGAGGTGTCCCCTTGTGATTTAAAAGTGAAACCAAGGTGAAACCCGGTTTGCTTGGCAATTTTTTTGGGGTGTCTCATCATTCGGCCGTGGGTCAAAATCCCGTACCCCCAGTGAACATCCCAATCCCCACTAAAATAGGTTCTAAAATGGGTGGTGAATCCACCTACCCCAAAATGGGATCCCAAAACGGTTTTGACCACCACGGCCATTTTGAGACACCCCTTTCGGGGATGACCGGAAGCTCCGAAAACCCCACGCCCGCTCGCCTCCGGCCGCAGCCCCGCGGCCCCCGAGCGCCCCGAGCGCCCAGGCCGCCCGAAACAGCTGCGCCGCTCTCAAACCGTCGATCTCCACCCGATCACAGGGGTGGAATCGAAAGGGCCACTCTTGTGGACCGTCTTTTTCGGGGCCAAGAGGTAAAGGGAGGTGGACAAATATGGTTTACTCTTGTGGTTGGGGACCCGGATTTTCGAGCCCCAGTCTTCTTGCAAGCCAAGAGGTAAAGGGAGGTGGACAAATCTGGTTTGGGCTTGGAAAACGCAGGGTCTCCCTTGTGGTATTGGCTTTTGAGGTAGCCAAAGTGACCATGTTGCCCTTCACGGCCTCCATGCGGTCTGTACCCCAACAATCCCCAGGCCTGACCAAGCCAACACGCATTTCTGGAGGAGCCTGCCAGGGTAATCCACAACCCTTGTTTCTGTACATACTTTGGCAGGACCTCGTGGCGGAAAATCATGTTTCCCAGAAGGGCCTTCGCACAGAACCTGGTTTGGGAACGCGCCTGGCCATTAAAAAATGGACGGCCGAGACTCACATTGGGTGACCACAAACCCCGCATGTTGGCAGGACCCAAAACCGGGCAAAAGATCACTTCTTCTGGGCTGGGACTGTCCGCGCGAGATATGTGATGTCCTTTAGTTGGCTGGACCTCTTTTCGGCACAAACAAATTAGGTCGTCCCCGGGCATTGGCTTGAAGGCGAACGAACGTGAAACGGAAAAGAAAAGCCAAATCAGGTGTAAATTACTCCTTGCTATTCAAGATGAAATGGACAGTCCTTTATTTGTCCAGGAAACTTCTTTTTGGGGCCCCTCTTGCCAAGGCTGCAGGGGATAAGGTCGGCAGGAGTTGACCTGATGTCTCTTAAACTATTTCAGGGTGAATCGCCGACCGCGCTCCAAATAGAACTAGATGCTTCTCATAGCAATTCGTTCCCTAGATTGCCCAACTTTAAGGGTCCACTTCAGGTTTCTGTTGTAAATACCCAAAGGGAGAGGGAACATCTAAACTTGGTTGCTGTTGACCCCTCTGCAAAAAGTGTTTTCGCTTGTTGTGGGTGTAGTGGAAAACCCTTCCCACAAACATAAAAAAAAAAAAAGAAACTTAAAGTCTGAAGATACCCAATAACAGTCAAGCAAATTGGTTGGCTTTTGCTCAGATACCAAAGGGGTCTGTGGCGCCGTGCCGGTGCCTCTGGGGTGCCGGCGAGGTGTCTGCAGCCCTCGTCCCCCAGGCCGTTCCAGGAGAGCCCCAGGAACTGGGACGGCCAGAGTTCCAAGCCCTGAACTTCCCTTGATCTCAATAAAAGTTGGGTGTGGCGGGAGCTGACGAGTAACCATTGACCTGACAACTTAGAACCATGCATTGAACCCCCTGCGAATCGCGAACGCTCAAGGCTTTGCCCTGCTCACGGAAAGGTGTGACGGCAAAGCGGGATTCTCATCCTGATGACTTGCAGCGTTTGAACTGGCCCCCAAACGCATCTGTGGTTACTGTTGTTGGCTAGTTGTTCAATGGTTGCCAGGGAAGTGGACAAGAAGTCTATAGGTTTTGATTGACTGGGCAAACAATGGTAAACTCAGGGAAACAAATGGTTGTCCGGTGATCGCCAAGTGGTTAGTGCCCATAACCCACCGAAGACATGCTTCTTAAGTCCCCTTTCCGGCGCTCAAGCCACTTGAGGAGTCTATACCCACAGCTGCAGAAGCATCAACAAGCCCCGGTTAAATCTACTGGCATTCTACTCTCAAATGATGTTGACCCCCTAAACCATCAAAATCATGACAGGTTTGCAGATGCTGAGTGCCCCCATGGTTCGTCAAACTGCTTAGTACCCCCCATGTTCAACCTCCCAGCACTAGCCAGGTTAGTAGTGAGTATTAAAAGTGAAAACACCACCACTAAACTACCTGAAAAAAAAAAGAAGAGCAAGAAGCTAAAGACCCAAGTTGCACCGCACGGCTGGGGTCAACCACCAGCTCAGTCCCACACCTCTGGCCTTCGGGTCGCGCCTGGAGGCTCTTCAGGCGAAGCTGCGCCAAGGCCTGGAGCCCTGCGCGCGTCGAACTCGGTTCAAGGACTTCGCTCGGCTCTCCTATCTTCGCGGGAAGGAAGGCGGGCCTTCCATTTGTTTTTTGGGGGGCTGCCCGGGCCTAAGCTTATTTGGCTGAAGGGGGAAGGGGATCTTGGCCCTATAGTGGGAAACGGGGAAAGGGATGCGAAGGTTTTAGACCTGAACACCTGCCTTTTGAGAGCCCAAACATCCCTAGGAGGGAAGGGTATCACCTGGGGGATGGTGGCAACGCGTGGGCTCGATCTTGCCAGTTTAGGGCCGCAAAGTAGACAAGTGGTCATGGAAGTTGACGTCCTTGGGGATATATCGCTTTCTACTGCAGAGCTAAGTCTATGGGTGTGGTGCTAGTTGGTGGATGTTCTTGGGTGCCCATGTCGGTTATCTGCTGGTGTTGCGTGGTTTGCTTTCTCTGTGTACTTGGTTGCTTGTTTCTCCTTCTGTGCATGCGGCCCTGCTTTGATGTTTCTGCTGTGTACGGCGTCAGGACGAAGGGAATACGGACACCGAGGCAGCTCAACCAGCAGTTAAGGTGTATTTTACCCCCTACTCAAAATGTTTTTGATTTCAAGCTTTTTGTTTGGGAAAGCCTGGCTTTCCATGGTAAATACCTCCTTTTTTGGTGGAGGGTCGACATGCTACCCTGAAAAAAGGTAGTTGGAGTAGGGGGTATACTAACCCGCTAAAATACACGGAATCAAAAACCCTCTCGAGCACGACTGCTTCTTGGACAGCACTTAGGCGTTTGGGCATGAACACAAGCAGTTGGAGGGTGATGGCTGGGTATAGAAACATTGCTTTGTTATTGCATTGTTTGCATACGTGAAATTCTGGGCTGTGTGGTTGCTTCTCGCTTTAGCGTGCTTTGTGCATGTCTTTTTTGTTCCCGGTGTTTGCTTGTTTTGCGAATGTGTGCTTCGTGTGTGTGTGTACATATATATATATAATATTGCTTATTTATTCTTGTTGGTATGAGTTTTTGGTAACCTCACCTTGAGTTGCTTGGAGCGTAAGCCAACAGTTTCCAGTGAAGCAACATTTTGGATGCGTGTGTTGCCTTTGCACTATGTTCAACATCCCTCAGTGCGACGTAAAGGTGAATTACGCTTATTTCGAACTTACCACTCGATTCGAGGGTCGTGTGAATATGTGTATAACTTCAGTGGTGAGAAAGCAAAAGCCTGGGAAAGCGTCATCTTTCACGTAGTGCATCCTTGGATTGGCTCCGGCAAACGATGAAGCAACTTGGTGACAACTTATCAACACTTGGAACCAACCTGGGGAACAATTGGTCAAAGGCACGGCGACACTCGGAGCACATTGCAGGAAACTTGGCGAAACTTGGCGAACTTCAGAACGTTTTACGTTGCAAACCTGTCCAGTTGATATGTGCCTTTGTCATGATATTGTTGCAAGTGATTACCCTGTCACCCCGCCGTCGTGGGCATGCAAGACTGGAATGTATTGAATGATTGAATGTGGTGTCACGGTACTAGACACAAGCATAAACTACTTTCAGGCACAACTTCACTCGCTGTGGCTTGCCACTCCTTCCTTTTGCCTTCGACATGCCTCCATTTTTCTCAGAGCGTTTGCTGCTTTGTCAAGCTCGCCTTGCTTTGGCATTAAAACTCAAACAAATTCAATGAACATGGGGCACCAGCTGCTGCTGAGACTGTGTTTTGAAGGATCCTTTGGAAACACTTGGCTTTTGCGTGTTTGACCTCACCCTGGCAACGAGAGCTTGACGAGTGCCCGAATGTCACAAACACTCGCTTCGAACTTCCATCAAAGCCTGCTTGAAAAAATGTGTTTGGCCAGAAAAGGAACATAAGCCCAGGCGGCCAACAGCTATCCCCCGCGAACCACTCCGGACCCTATTTGGGGGCAAAGACCCCAAGCTTTCAGCTGTTGGGGAATATCATTCAAGCAATTTAAGACCCTTGCAGGGCCAGGCCTCGAGGGGGAAAGGGTTTTCGGAATGTTGGCTGCTCAAGTCCTTCTTACGGACCTTGGCCCTGAAAAGAAGCAGGTACTTGGAGAGCAGGGGACGTGTGTTGCATCAATTTGCATCCAATCTTCACTTGCTTTTGACGCCTTCCTC